AGGTTTAGTAGAATTAAATACATTCAAATGAGTTATCTGCAATACTCCAACATATATAGGTGATTGTCAAATTAAAATTGTTTATGGGTTTATTTGCAACCAATACAAAAAATCCAAGTGTTTTTATGCCTTTTAACCCAAGCATTGGGTGGTAAATCGTATCGTATATGAGGAAATATCTGTAACCATATCCATTAGGATGTGGACATGGTTACTCAAATTTATAACTAATAGGATATGGTTATGAATATGGTTTTATAGTAAAATATCTGGGTCCGTACCCAAAATATCCGGATATAAGTTGATCATAGAGTTAATTGTTTCAAATTTTAGATTAATGATTTTTAGACTAATTCTGATGATCAAGAGTTCCAATCCTAGATTTTCAAATATAACAAACATATTACTGAACTCTTCTGTACCATACGAACTGTATTTTGTTGATATTATTTTTATTTTCTCATATTTATTTTGTATCCGCATGTATATTCACATATTCATCTGCATGTGTATTTGCATGCAATTTTAGTGGATATGGATATGAGTTTTCCTTACCAAGGCATATCTATATCCGTATCCGTATTAGTGAATGATGAGCGGATATAACTATAATAAATATCATATACAAGTCGTAGCCGAACCGTTTCCACCCCTACGAGCATGTGGTTGTAGCATTCAATAAAGGGAAAAAAAACTCGAATGCATAAACTGTTTTTTTAAAACAAAGTAGAAATTCACAATGTCATTATAGTTTCAAAGACAAACATGCTACTTTTTTAAAAACTCAACTTAAAACTTATTGTGAATGTGAATAGGATGCTAACTGATTAAATGTGATGCTCTTAGTTTTAATACCATCCGATTTATTCCACTTCGTTCATTGTCGTAGGCAAAACTATACAACACTGAAGGGTAAGTTATCTTATTTTCTTTATGCGATATAAACAAATTATTTGCAGCATAATGTTGTTGTCCGATTGCTTATGGAAAATATAGCTTACGTCGTAAACAAGTAAAATATAGAGCGAAAGTATGTTTGAAAGGATATGATCAATACTTAAAATCAAATCGTTTGAACAAGAGTTATATATTCAATCTCGCTAACATGAGCTGTACTTGAAATGTTTAAAATAAAAGATGCAAATAACTTTTTACACAATTCACATCAAGGAATTCCACGAACAATGAAATCTTCAACATTAAAAAAGGTAACTAATGACATAATATAATATATAATATAAAATCTAAAAATATTAAACAATAATAATTACATACACAAGAGTAAACTGTCAAATAGGGTTAGACATGGGCTGGTTCGAACCACTGGCCTTACAGGCCCTACCCGGTTTGGGTCTAAACCGAATTCGCCCTACACTGGGCCAGACCCACCAACTTAGCACATATTAATGACGGTTCATGGGTCGAGCTAAGTTTTAATCTAAACCGAGGACCAAAGAAGCATGCCCAGCCCACCATAGACCCGAAAGCTCGCCTGCCGGACCGATTTAATTATAAAAATTTTATTTGTTTAGTAAAAAATAAATGGGTCTCAGGCCGTTAGAGGATTTCATTAAGTTCGACATTGCTTATATCTTTGTGGTGTTAGCGATGTCGTGTGTGTGCTGTATATATATATATATATATATTATATATAATATATATTTATATATTATCTATATATATTATATATATATATATTATTGAGTTAATGGCGTATCCTTGTCATATTGGAGGGGATTTGCTCCTTGAGCCTCTAAAATCACATGTAAGCGACATTGTGGGATGTACCTCCCTCTTGACAGTTGATCTACATATTATAAAACCGAACAAACACGGAAGTTTGGGGTGAACCCCCGTCGTCGTTTGTCCTTCACTGCCCATCGTATATTTTAAGGTTTTGAATGAATATAACTGTTTATCATATTACATTGGCTGATGGAGAGTCAAACGTGAGCGGATGTCACCAGACTTGGTGATGCTTTGGGTTTTAAGATATGTAGATCCAAGTCAACGGAGGCGGATGCGCATCATAATGTCGTCCAGTAAGTGAATTTAGAGGGTCAAGGAGAAATCTCCTGCCTATGAGCAGGATATCGATTAAATTATAAATAGTACTAATATAAAGTACTATATATAATATAATAGTATACGGGGTATAGCTTAGTACAGAGGGGACAAATTTTTGTGCTTGGTAGTGAGGTGGCACAATCTCTTCCACTCATTCAAATGGGGGACCACATTCACATGGGTTGAGGAGTGCATTAGGATATGCAACCATTTGAATGAGTGGAAGGGATTATGCCACTTCACTACCAAGCATAATTTTTTATGCTTGGTACCAAGCATACCCATTTTTTTCTCTCTCTATATATATATATAGAAATATGAAGAAACTTGGTACTAAGTTTCTCCATATTTCTCATATATATATATCATACTCCCTTTAAAAGTGGGAGTTCTTGAAAAACTTTTATTGGTCAATTTTACCCCTAATCCTTTTTAATATTGACATTCTTAATCTAATTATAATTGGTTATCAACTAAAGCTAATAAATTAAAATTAAACTCCTAAATTAAAGCTCTCTCCATTCAAAAGTAATCAATAAAAAATTATAACTAGAATTGGTTGACAACTAAAGAGTATAAAGAAGCTTAAACTCCCGAATTAAAGCTCCCTCAATTCAAAACCAATTAATAAAAATTAATCTAATTATAATTAGTAAACAACTAAAGAGCAGAAAGAATCTTAGAGCACATTAGCATTGTAAACATAATATGTATTGCACATGTAAATATTAACCAATTGATTGATGCTAAATTATATATAGAATTAATTAATTATCAACAAAAATTAATTAATTAAAGTATTTTTTGTAGTAGTCCCTTAAACCTTTCATATTTTGAAATTACTTTGTCAAAGCATTGAAATTATTATTAAGTAACTCAATTCTTAAGTTATTTGAAATTAGTCATTCAAATCAACGGTATAATTAGCAATTTGAGGGACTAATTTCCCTCTAATTGCTTTTTTTATTCTTGATTGGAGAAGCTGATATCAAAATAACTTAAGAATTGCGGATGTAGTAACTATTTCAATGATTTGATGAATTAGTTTTAAAATAATAAGAATTGATCGACCTAATAGTTCAATGTGGTTATCTTTGCAAACTTATGGAGAGGTTTTCTTAAATGATGATAGGTTTTCTTATTCTACAGTCATTAGGGATTAAGATAGAATGTTTTTTTTCCTTTTCTTTTTTACTTCATAAGAATTTTATGTCATCTGTTATTATTAGATTTGAGGCATTGAAGAATTTAATTGTTATATGAGCGAATAATCTTTTCGAATAATGTGTAGCTTACATTACTCATGGTTTATAAGCGAATAATCTTTTCCAATAATTTGTAGCTTACATTGCTTATGATCACAAGGACACATAAAATAAAAGTTGAAGGTACATAAATGTAAGTATTAAGAAAGTTCACATATAATATTACATCATCAAGTTGAGATTTAAAAGAAACACTTTTACAACCAAGTTATACTAAAGAAATAAACCGAACAAATAACCACGTGCAATGCACGTGTATCTCTCCTAGTATTTTCATAAAAAGATCAGTTTTACTTATTATATTTTTAAAAAAATAATCTTTTTTTTTGAAATTCTTCGTTAATGTATCGTCTTCTTCCCCTCCGTCTTGATTCTGTTCTTGAAGCCGCTTCATCAAGAACGAACGGCTCGCCCAGATACCTCGAAAAACTCCATTTTTTGCTCCTGTTCCATTTTTAATACAAGGTTATTATTCTAAATCGTTGGGTATTTAACTGTTATTTCGTCAATTGATCCAATTATTAATCCCACATTCCGCTTATTTCTTTCATGATTTACTGTGGGGTTCATGTGTAAAAGGTTGTGGGCCTTGTGGCTGGTATAATCAGAATCCTAATGCTAATGCAAACTTTAGGGATATTTGGTAATTCAATTAAGTATTCTTTATAGCCTTCTCTATCTAGTTCGCGACTCGGTTTCCCTAGACTATCTCCAGCAGGAGTTTTTTTGGGGGGTTTTTGTCTCCAGTAGTTGGTTTTTTCGGTGGTGAAATGTAAAATCGAAGTCGGAGGGGTGAATATTTCACCTCCGGTTTTTCTGACGGCGTGGGTCCCGCGACATGTGATCAGCCCATGCATCAAGCCATGTGTCAATGCTTGATTGGTTGGCGTTTTTTATTTTACTCCTAATTTTTAAATGATATTTTGGGAGATAAATACTAGGAATTAATTTATAATTTTTATAGCAATAATTTTTATTCTCTATAAATAGAGATTAGTCTTGTGTAATTTGGACACCAAAAAAAATCTAAGTTTTCAACACCTTATTCTCCTTCTCTTTGCTTTTGCTTCTATATTCTTCAAACTTTTTCAAATGGATCATTCACAAAATTATCTTAATTTCTCCTACAACTTTACTAACCAGCCTCAAAATACCAACCCTCAAAATCCAAATATGCAAGCCCCGGAAAATATTATCAAAAATTAAATTAATAATATATATTATTTATGTAAATATTAAAAAATTATAATTATAAATAAATGAGTTATATTAGTAATAATAATAGTAGTAGTAATATATATGAAATAAGAAAAAGAAATGAATAAATAAGGTGGGGAATATATGTTGGAGTGATGGGGTTATAGTGGGTCCCAAATAAAGTAAAAATCTTTTGAAAAAACTCCTGCTGTAGAGATGATAGAAAATGAAGATTGTTGAATTATGTGGAGGGGAAATAAAGTAATGTGGCAGGAGAGAAGGTTAAAATTTCGACTCCCGCTGGAGATGGTCTAGGGATTAAATTGCAAACTTCCCCGTTTCGGATATGACCTTATAAGCCCCGTGCCCCATCGAACAACACGTCAGACACCGGAGGACGAAATCGTAATCTCCAACACAAAAACCCTAGCCGCCCCCCGCTATAAAATCCCCTCTCATTCCGCTCGCTAGGGTTTCCTCCCATCGAGTCCCCCGCCCCCCTCTCTCTCTCTCATTGCAGGAGCGCCAGCAGCTGCGCGAGAGACAACCCCCCAAAGCCCTCAGCAATGGTGAAGTTCCTGAAGCCAAACAAGGCGGTGATCCTCCTCCAGGGCCGCTTCGCCGGCCGCAAGGCCGTAATCGTCAAGAACTTCGACGACGGCACCCGCGAGCGCGCCTACGGCCACTGCCTCGTCGCCGGCATCGCCAAGTACCCTAAGAAGGTGATCCGCAAGGACTCGGCCAAGAAAACCGCGAAGAAATCCAGGGTCAAGGCGTTCCTCAAGGTCGTGAACTACTCCCACATCATGCCGACGAGGTACACGCTCGACGTGGATCTCAAGGACGTCGCGACCCTCGATGCGCTGCAGACACGTGACAAGAAGGTGGCGGCGTGCAAGGAGGCGAAGCAGAGGTTTGAGGAGAGGTTCAAGACTGGGAAGAACCGGTGGTTCTTTACCAAGCTCAGGTTTTGAGGAACCAGGTATCTTGATCTCTTGGTTTGGGTCGTTTAGGGTTTTATTTTCTTGAAAAATGCTATTGTCGTTTAAAGAAGAGTGCTGTCTTATTGAGATCTGGATGTTGAGTATTTGTAGTTTTGGGTTTGCATCATTTTAATAGATCGCATGCTTTATTATCTTTTATGTCTGAGGACCTACTTTGATCGAGAACATGCTGTTGATGGTTTTGCAATTAATGGTGATCGATTCAAGAATGTTTGTGTTTTGTGATTGTGGCAAACTTGACCGTTCAATTTGAACGATCTCTGTGATTGAAGATTTTCATAGTTTATAGTCTGCAGATAGAACATGATGGTGGTTATTTGGAATCTTGGTAGATATAGGCTATTTGTAGTTCTTGATGTCGCATCATTTTGCAGCTAGTAGCGATCAATATGACACTATGATTTGTTAATGAGACGATATTGGTGATATAAGCAGGTCAAATTTATAGTTATAATTTGTTTTACGGTTATTGTTTGGTTGTGTTGTTGACATTGTTAGCTAGGTCTATGATATGTAGATGGAACAATGTATTATTTGTTATATCATATTGTCTGGATTGGTAATTGTTTCGTTTAGTAACTATTTATGATTAGGAAGGAGGGTCCAATCTATAAATTTTATCAGGTATAGTATAGTGTTTTGATGGTTGATCAATATCTTTTGATTTAGGTAAGGATTTGAGTAACTTCTAATATTGCATCAAGGCATTGTTTGTGTTATTAAATAGGGGAGATAGCAATAGGTTTATTTCATATTTTTCGGTCTTTGCAGTTTGTTTTAATTGCTTCTAGTTTGAGTGGGTCATTCCATATCTGTTGTTGATTGCACCATTTCTTGAACTTAAGTTCCTGAGGGCATGTGAGGATATGTGATGCATTGTGGCGTATTGGATCACACTTGCACCTTTGAGTAGAAATTTTTAGGATTTACATCTAGAGGACCCCTGTGTGGCTAAAATCTTGATCATAAAATACTATTTATGTTTTCGGTGTCAGTTGTTTATCTCAGTTCTCTAAGTGTCTTAGATGTATTATTGCTCATATTTGGTTAAGGTTCTGAATTTTGAGGTGGGTTTGAAGAAGTCTGATTTTCATAGAAGACCCTATATTTCAATCTGAATAATGTATAATGCCCTCTATAATTGCTCTCTTTTCTAAAGAGAGCTGGATTTTCTAAATCTAGAACTAAGTGACTTTACTAGATTAAATTCCTTGAGATTTTTATCAGGAGCTGTTATTGAAGGAGAACAGTCCTTTGGATTTCATCATCCAAATAAACTAAAAGTAATCATAGCTTAGAGAAATCAAAGGAAGAGGGGTATGCAATTTATGGATTTTCTGAAAGGAGGGGTATACAATTTATGGATTTTCTGACTTTATCTTTTATAAATAAGATAGCAGGACCTTTTTTGATCTAGATGAACCGTATGAATTAGCAATATTAAATATCTTGGGATTGTAATATTTTGTTATCCAAATAGAACAATTTTTTTGGGTTTCATCAATCTAGAGGAACTAAAAGTAACCATTATGTTAGAACCCAAAGGAGGAGGGGTATGCAATTTATGATTTTCTAACGGGTGCCCTAGGGCACCTGTTAATATAGCTTAGGTTCTATATTTTTTTTTCACCCTCTTCCCGAGCAAGTGCCGATGGTAGCTTGTGCTAACTTGCTTGCCCATATGATTTCCACTAATTATCTCTCTTCCTCGCGTTGCCATTGCCAGGCTCTCTTCATCTAATAACTGCTTAGAAAGATTGCTTAAGTGAGAAGAAAATGGGTTTATTCTTTAAGCATTTTTGGAGAGAAAATTCAAAAGTTTATAGTTTATACAGGGAAATGTTAAAGTTACAATTTTTTTTTTTTGCATGAACAACTAGTTGAATATGGTTTTGTAAACGAAATTGACAAGAACAAGAAAGTGAAGGTAGAATTAGTGGGGAATATAGGGGCCCATAATTTGGGAGAGAGAGTAATCTTATTGTGAAGGAGTAAGAAAGGATGGAACCTAAGATATATTAACTGGTTCCCAAGGATGCCCGTTACAAAATCCATACGATTAAGTCAAGTTCTGATTTTTTCGAGACATAGTAGCCTGAAACATTGTCTGAACGCTGTCATTGAGCCCCGTAACACCATTTCTGGTTTGGCATTTTGCATGTATGGTTTAAAAGTCCATGTTTTTGGTTATTTGCTTTAAACTCTAATGTTTTAGTCCAATATGATTACTTTTGTGAAGTATACAAACTTTATTTTGCCTTTCTTTTTGGAATGAATTTTTTATTTTCATTCAAATGTCTATTCATTATAGCTTTCTCATCCATTATTCATAGTGTGCTACTCTGGTTTTTGACTAAGTATTGCTAATCACTGTTAAATAATTGCCTCTATACACTTGCAACCTGCAGAAATTTAAGAACTTATGGCATCACTCCCTGGAATTTTTTTTTCTTTTTGTTTTGGGTAGGTAAAACCCAAATTATCCTCGATGGATTCTTTTCTGTCATTTATCTGAAAACCCTATCTTTTATGTCATTTATTCACTTCAAGTTATCTATTTGTGCTAACTTCAGCATCTTTAATAGTCTGTCATCTTGCTCTCAAGTCTAATTCCCAGATACTATCCAACACTTGAGTCTATCATTATTTGTTTCTCGCGCCATTTATATTTAATTGGGTTTTGACTTGGATTCTCTGTTTATGTTTTTGGGGTTGAGGTGAGTTATCTTTCGATCATATGTTAGATGTGATTTTTCTTTTGATCTCGGGGATTATTACCTTTGTCATATGGTCTTCATTTACCCAAATTTTCTATTTCTATTTGACAGATTTTCCAAATTGTTTTTCAGTGCATTGCAACAATTTATTAATCTGTATTATTTATATAATGTATCTTTTTGTCAAATTTGATTCACCAGAAGCCATTATTCATTTTAGACGAGTAATGTTTGATTTAGAATGCATTTTTTCATTAGATTGATTTTTTTTACTTATTCGAGGAATGACTCAAACATCCTGTGTTCTTGCAGTTTTTTTAATTAGGTTTTGATTTTGATATATGCCTGGTATCTGGAATGTTGGATGTATTCATTGTGTTCTAGTTTTTGGTGCGTTAATGGAATTTAAGTACCACCGGACTTCTTTAGATTGAGTTTTACCCTTAACAGGGTTGGCACTTCTCATATTTGTGGTAAATGTTTTTGAAGATTAGTAAGTTTTTGAGGAGTAATGTGATTTGTCATGTGGCTTAGAACCCGTTTTAAATTATTTAACGTGCACTGAATTTGCTTCTGTAACACAAAGGGTAATGTTACTCTTAAAAATCTCTAATCAAGCAATTACAGCCACACGAACATCAACTATAGAGATGAAAAGGAATCAAACCAAAAGAGATCCAAATAAACAGAAATAGCGCACTTCACGTCTGAAACTAGAGATGTGAGGTAATTTCATGTATTCCAGCGAAAACTCTGCAAACGCCTCAGCTTTGAAACAAACAGCTATGGCAGCAAAAACTCCTGCGATTTGCGGTCTGCGCGATTTTCAACTCCGACGAATAAACTAGCCGCTCAAAATCACACGATCGGCAGTAAATCCGGTAGTAAATACCGAGTACTAGAGAGACTGATAATAAAAGTATTCACTAGCATCACATAATGGGTTGGTTGTAGTAATCATATGCAACTCCTATGAACCTGTGACTTGCTGGCTAAACAAACAAGTGAGTTCTTGGCTAGTTTTAACATGACGAGGGAAATGAGAGCGGCTTGAATCTCGATTTTTTAGTAGAAAAGGCGGCAAATTTCTTTTGCGAGCATATTCTGGCCAAGATTTTCAGCTAAGGAAGGGGTTCAGTGTGATTCTGGGACGAACCTCAAAAAAGCAACAAGCATATACCCGCTAGAAAACTATCATTTTCAAAAGTAATGCTATACTTACTATAAATTGTATACTAATTATATGTACAAAGCAAACGATTTCTGAAGGTAAAGACGTGTAACATGAGTAATACAGAATTCCCGTATGTTTTTTGTATCATAATGGCGAAGTACCGCAGAAATCTCAGAACAATTGAAGGGATAGTTTTATTTCTATTTATTTATGTAAATTGCTACCCTGGTCCTCTTGAAATACGTCTCGAAGGTCAAAATCAGTCCTACAGAATCTCTCCCGACCAAAGGCGTGCCCTTAGAGGCTGTTTGGTTCAATGGAGGGTAGGAATAGGATTAGGAATCCTATTTTTTTTTTTTTTATGGATTTCAACCTAATCCATAAAAAATTTTAAGACAAATGTGTAGTTTTATGGAATCTTTTTTTTTTTTGCATTCTATGTTTGTTTCATTACATGAAAAATAGAATCCAACTTTTATAGAAACCCTCCAATTCCTAATATCTAGTTTGGTTCGGGATGGATTTTTTGTGGATTAACACTGTAGCAACGGCTAGTTTAATATTCAAAACAAAAACATTGTAGCAACGGCTAGTTCCAACAGCTAGCTTAATATTCAAATCTGAAAAACTGTAGCAACGGCTAGTTCCAAGGCCTTGGAGACTATAAATTTAACTTGAGACATCAATTTTTCCAGTGCATTCTTCATTATTACCAATTTATAAATTCTCATTGTTTGCAATTTGCCTCCCCGACATCAATATGATATCAGAAGAATGCTCCCAAAATTATGAAGTTTATTGCGACTACAATCTCCGAACACCGATGAAAGCGTGCAAGAATGGTAAAAATAAGGGAATGTGTTATTGGGGGTGTGCAAAATTCCCAAATAAAAATACAATTTTTTCAAATGGGTTGATGAAAGAGGAGAAATAAGCAACCAAGGAAACCAATATGTCAAAGAAAATAGGTACGGAGATAAATATTTTTGAAATCAAAGAGGATGAAAAAAGAATTGAGACTTGTTGAAAATCAACTATTAGCTTGGAAAATTTCAGCAATTTTATTAGCAATTTTTTGTATTCTTTTAATTATTACAAACCACATGTCATGTACTTGTACTTGCAAAAACTATTGATGTTGTAATGAAAACTATTATTGGAATTGAGTATAAATTCTAGTTGATATTGTATGACTCAGGAATAGATCAACTTATCAAAATTGAATGCCTCACCTATAACTTACAGGTTTATTACAGATTGCATTCTAATGATGGATTGCCTCGCCTAGACATTGTCAATTCATTGTAGGCTGCAATCTCATCACATTTTGCCTCATCTGAATATAATAAACACTGTAAGTTAGATTGCATTCTTAGTAAACGCTAATCATCATCATTGTCAAATATCAACTATAGAGCACATCATGCTCCAGCCACACGTCAACCGATAGCAACATAACCCCAATGTTAGCATCAAAACCAACAGCAGAAAAAACACATAAAAACCCAAAGCCAACGAGCTAAACAAGCTCTACCTGACAGCCAAAACCCCACAGCCAACGAGCTAAACAAGCTCCACAAACATGATGGCAAAAAAACCCAAAGCCAAAGAGCTAAACAAGCTCCACAAACCTAATGGTAAAAAAACCCAAAACCAGAGAGCTAAACAAGCTCCACCTGACAGCCAAAAAACCCAAAGCCAAAGAGCTAAACAAGCTCCTCCTGACAGCCAAAACCCGAAAAAAGCCAAGAACAATCTCAAGCTCAGCAATCGACAACAATAGCAGTCAACCAATTTCACTATCTCATGCACGGGCCTATCCTCTCCTGTACACAATAGCATTTAAAACTTTCAGTTAGGTTTATCAAACTTACAAATTTCATGTATTTGTAACACTAGCTATCACACCTAGTAGCTGCATATAAGTTCAAAGGGCAGACATCAAAAATCAAACAACCTCCTAGCATAAACTTAATGGTAATTTGAAATTAAAAGATGGCAAACATCTAACGGTCAAAGTTATCTAAGTCTTTTCCCCAACCAAGTCAAGTGTAATTATGACATAGATCGAAAAACCTACAAACAATGTAAGAAACACCCTCATATCCAAAATGCTAAAATTCTAAAAGATTCAATCAATAAAAAAGTACCTAAAAACCAAAAAAATTATTCCTTCCTCCCTGCAAAGAACAAAGAATAATTGTCCAGTATCCAAATCTTTTTCCATCCTTTGTTCTCTATCTGACTTAAGATGCAAGCATTATCAGCATCCACGGATTTCGTATAGCACTAACATAACTCAATAATAATATCAAAATTAAAAATTGAAACCTAATTTACAATAATATCAACAACCTAAGGTCAACGTGCACAACCAAATCATCATTATAGTTTCAAAAAATCCTCCATTAACCATCAAAAAGTTTAGTTATGACAATAAAAAGATCTAGCAACCAAGATTAAATGTGTCAATGCCACTACTTAAACAAATCATTTAATAGAATGACGAAACTTAAAAGAAAAAAAACCAGATAAAATTTTATCTCTTTCTCACGATCAAATGAACAAGATCACCTTGAGAAGATTACCTATTAGAGAAAAACCCAATGTGTTGACAAAATCTAATATTGACAGCCAAGTTTATAATGTTCAAGCATTAAAATATCTAAAAATTAAAATTCATAAGATTCCTAATTAATACCAAACTTAATTTGATAATATTATCAATGTTAAAATTCAGAAGCCAAACTGAAGCAATGTCATGAAACCTACAAAAATCAAGACAACCAAAATTAACATCACAATTAATCAACAGAGAATCTTTCCTCCTGTAGTAGAAATCTAGCAAGCAAAAGTAAAGTATTCTAAATATCTAATATTCAGGCATAATAATCCTAAAATTCTTATTAAGACAAAACTTAATTCAATAGCTTATAAAAGTTAAAATCCAAGGAAGACAACTGAAAATAACACTCCATTTTTTTAGAGCGAAAGGAATTTAATTGCATCAATTCCACTTCTTAGACAAATCAACTACAACAATTGTACCAAATTAAACAAAACCAGATCAAAATTTCACTTTTCTTTCTTTCAAGAGTGAAGAACTTGGTCAAGATCAGACTGAAGAAATAACCCATTAGAGAAGCCTATACGTGAACAAACCCTGATACCCACAATGCTAAATTTCTAATATTCAAGCATAAAAAACCTAAAATTAAATTCAGTAAGGTTCCCTATATTAATAACAAACTTGATTGAGCAACACTATCAATGTTAAATGTACCAATTCTACTGCTTAAAGAAATAACCCACAACAATGTACCAAATTAAACAAAACCCAGATCAAAATTTCAGCTGTTTTATCAAAATCCGAGAAGTGGGTGAAGGTCAGATTGATAAAAAAGATTACCCATAAGAGAAGCTTCAAGCATCTGAAGGCTCATGAGGACCTGATCAGTGGGGGTCGCGGGACAAGCCGAAGCCAAAATCTAGGGCGAATCAGTCTTGACAAGAGGTGGCGATGCCAAATCCACCAACCGAACCCAACAACAACATCGAAGAACAGCGGGAGAGGAGGCACGAAGAAGCTTGGAGAGAGGCGGGAGAAGAATTGGGGAGTTGCGATTCCAGATCTAGGGCTCGTGCTTGTGAGGATTAGGAATCCGAAAACGAAGATGAAGACCGCTGTCAGAATTCTCGCCCAATTCCTCTCAAAAACCTCCGATTTGGGTTTCTATAAAAATCCCTTACTGTTGCACCATTATGGATTTTGTAATCCATAAATTTTTTCTGAGCCAAACTCTAGAATAGAATTGATAAAGAATTCAAATATTACACTTTTGCCACTGTCAGATCCAAATACTAATCTTTTTCTATAAATTGGGTGAAAAACCCCTTAGCAACTTGCCTGCCCCTTATGAAGTATTTAAATCAAAAGAGAATCCGAGTACAAAAGAACATAATATCAGGCAAAAAAGTAAAAAAAGAACCACCTCAGACGAAAAATAAAGCCAAAATTATAATCATCAATACGAAAGGCCTGATCAATTACTGTACATCACCCGCATGACGCGTGAATATCAATACAAAAGCCCTGATCAATTACTGTACATATAAATTTGGAACACAATGGTGATTCCATTGGGGACATCGATGCAAACAAATCACACAACCAATCCCCAGGTATAAATATGCTCTAAGCTTCAAAACTAAGTGACTCAAGAAATATGTAAATCAACGCTTGGGTAAAGTGATCGGGAAGAAACTCATCTCAATGGAATATTAGCATCCCATAAATATCTCAAAGAAACTGCCATGTCTTCTTGGTTCTATCAGCTAAATCCGATGTACGGAATTTTCTAAATCTCCAGACTTGTGAAACCAAAGAAGCACACGGAGCAATCATAATTACACTCACAGATGGACACTATCCAGACCAGGGGGAGATATTGGAGGAACTGCTTTCTCAAAAATGTCAGAGAACTCCAAAATCTTTCTATTAATCGCATGAGATACTGTACTGTCTTCCTTAGTATTTGCGGATCCGGCAGTATCTGAGGATTTCTTTTCCTCCATGGATGGCAAGGATTTCTTGGAGTGCAAATGTGCCGATGCAATCGCGGAGCTGAAAGTCCCAGCTTCTCTCAGCCCTTGAATGATAGCCTAGAATGTGGACAATACGCATTAATTTAATTAACAGAGTGACTTATTTTCTATAAATGTGGTTAATGTTTGAGAAAGAAAATTACCATTGGTGCATATATGCGGGTCAAGATACCCTTTCTTAGAAGTTTCAGATTTAACTGTTTATCAGTCCATACAACATGCTCACGAAACCTGAGAAAAGAAAGGAAAGGAAAGCTGACTTAATACAACAGAAGCAACACCGTCATCAACAGGCAAAACCGATAGGTCATCGAGAATGCAAAGAACAATGTCAAACAAACTGCATGTTTGCAAGTAAAAGTGCATTCAACAAGTGGAAATGGATGTTAATTAATGTTTCTTTCTCTCTGCAATAACCAGTATAAGTTCACTCTGAAGGAGAAATTGAAAATGGATATTAATTAATGTCTCTTTCTCTATGCAATAAACAGTAATTCAGTAAATGTCCACTCCGGAGGAGTAATTACCGCTTAATTACTTATACCATACTTTGATCAAAAGAGGTTGAAACTAATGTAATTTACCAGTGAAATGGCAAACTGGAAGAATGCCCAATATATGTCTTATGACTGATGAGCAGGTTAAATTCAGAAGCACTTTTTCACTTCCTCGTGGGATAGATGGTGACAGTGCAAATACATTCCATGTCTAATGGATCTCAGTCATTACCCAGGACACAATTACTCTCTCTACAAACTAATACCTTGGAGTATGTGTATAAAATATGGATAAGAGGTAGGAAAAAAAGTTATTTTCGGATTTTGTTAAATTTTATGGGCTGTTGATTAAATCTGATTACACCTAGAAAACCTTCCAATTAGGAACTGTGAGTATTAAATAAGATTGGCATGCAACATTGTGTAACTGTTAGCCTTATGAGTAGGGACATTCTTAGGCCAATCCTCAAGGCAATAACCCTAGAGATATGTGTTACATCTAGGATGAATATTACTGCAGCCAATAATACTAATACACCATAAATAATAAACCTTTGGTTAACATCACAAAAGTACCATATGTCATGAAGTTGAGGAGATTACCAGCGCAACATTTCCTCTTCAGTGGCAGTGGATGCAATGATAAAAGCCTGTCAAGGAAATTATTGGTTAATAACTAATAATGGGGAAATTTCACAAAAAATCGATAAGAAATTATTATGAAATACAAGAAAAATACTTAAATATTTCCCACATACAAATTTTTATAAACAACATCTCAAACGAACTTCTCCAGAATGATATGATTTTAAATGCAGAAGTATGATCAAAATATGTGCGTGTGATAGATATCCCAAAAAAAAATTCATGAAAACATTAATGCATCTCAAAAGAATATCAAAATCATCTTTCATTGCCCACTAGATTTAACGATGCAAAGCCTCTGTTTAGGAAGGACGGACAGAATGCACATGATCATGCTACTTGCTGGAATCGAGTGTCCATTTAGCTCTCTGTCTAATGCTTAAACAGTATGTGAGTACGGTAAATGAATGTATATTGTTTATTATGCTAAAATATGCTGATAAAATTGCATTAAAATTAGTTATCTAAGATTCAACTTCATTCACAGCATTGCTCATATATGCGCCCGTGCAGATGCATGTACAGTAACATGTGTGCACACATGCATGAAGCCACATGTTGTTTAATCAGAATT